TTTTGGAAATAGTTGTTTTATACACTTAAACTTTAAAGAATATATCAATCCAACACATTCAAATTGTAATTAATTCATTACTTTTCATGATCTTTCAAATTAAAAAAAATCTGAATTTAACTTATTAAACTTTTTTAATCCAATGATAGGGACGATAATTTGATTATCATCAATAATAAAATCCAAGAGTGACGACAATAAGCTATAAAATATAATTTTGACTTACCAATATATGTTAATAATAATATATATTTTTATTAAATTTATTAGAATATTAAAAATTGATAGCTGAAGGAAAACTTTATACCACTAAGTGTGATAAGTTTTCTTTGACTATTGTAGTTAATAATGTTTGTCACTGAAAATCCAATTATTAAGACACACGGTTAAGGTTACTAATTTAAAATTGAATTTTTTTTTATCTCATTTAAATGATAGTTATTTTACCTTAAGAATCAATTTACATTCCTAAGTCAACCCTAAGATAATATCAACTCAATTTTTTATCCAACTATTTGTTCCCGGAAAAAGTGTAAAACAATGAAGCAATACATCACCTTAATGCATATCTATTCTTTGTGTAATGGAAAATATTTCAAACAGATTGAATAATTATTATCTAAAAAAAATTGATCAAATGTTGAGAGAACATAATTGTATTTAAGTGCATATACAAAACATAAAACCTTTCACACTTTTAATTTTTGAATCCTACGAATAGAGTTTATTTCAAGAGTTCAGGTCATTTAATTTTTAAATTGATCTCTTTCAATTTAATAAATAATTGAAATACATTTTTTAATAATCTACGAAAACAATTTTCTTTTAGTTATAATTGATTATTAGTTTCATTACAATAATCAAAAAAACTTAATAATCCTTGAAATTTTATTTCATATTAAAATAATTTTACAATCAATCAATAATGCTTTTGTCATTAAAAAATATTAATGTTAATTCAATTATTCTTTTTTTATATAATTAAAAATAAAATGTTAATAAAATTTAACAGATATATTAAGTCATAAGATTTAAAGGAAGAATAATAATACATTCTGATGAAGACATTAAGTTATTATCCTTAGACCAATATATACTTGATGATGAAGAGGGCTCATCTGTCATATATTTATATAATACCATGATGATATACTAATACCTCGTAAGCTGTTATGCTCATTATGTATTTAATTTATGAGATAATATTTTTAATTTTTCCAAAGCTTATTAAAAATTACAATCATGAAGTAAATTAAAAAATTTTGCATTGAGCATCTTATTGAAAATAAATACCCTCTAAATATCAATGAAATGCTAAAAGCCAGTTAATGAGTGTAGTGTTATATTTATAAAGTATCAGAATTGTTCAAAGCATTTTATAAATAATTAAAAATTATTTATAGAATAATTAGATAGTTTTCCTTACAGAAAATCTATAGATAGGAGCAAAATTTAAGGAGACACTTAATTAAATGTAAAAAAGGACAAATATAAATATCCTATTATCTCATCACATCAGGAGGATAACACTCAATCAGAATAATTAAATATTTTAGATAGGGATAATTTTTTAATTTATAAGATGAGGAACCAGGTATCATTTTAAAAACTATTCAAAAAGTTAAACCTCTATGAATGAATAACAAAAATAGAATTAACGATAGGATGCTGAGTAGATTCTGATTGAGAGCCTCAATAAATTGATTTTATTCAGCTATTTAACTAATTTGGTAAATTGGTGTAATTTTTTTCAGCTTTTGAAGGGAAGAGACCTCCCAATAATTAATTAGAGAACTTAATATTTAATTAAATAAGAAGAATTTTAAAGGAATAAGGTTGAGTGGGTCAACCATCTAACTTTAGGAAAATTAGATTTGACAAAAATGTGAAGAAGAATTATTAAGAGGTTCACTATAGGTAGGTATGTTTGTATATCTTAGTCTTATAAAATTGATTAGTTATTTTGATATTTAATAATTTTTACAATAGCAAACCCAAGGAAAGTAAGAGACAAATAAGAATACTTAAATAATCATGATTAAATATAATAGATAATTTTCGTTTATTAGAAAGAATTTCAATTGATTTTAGTTAAGTTTTCGGTCATTATTATTAGCAACTTAATAATGAAATGAATTACATCCATAAATTTTAAGTCCAAATTTTTAACTCAAGGTTGTCTAAAAGGTTTAAATTAAGGGATCATAAATATCTAAAAGCTACAAAATAAATAATTGTGCTTCTTATTCTTCATTAACTAAATTCATACTTCCTCTTATTAAATTTAAAGTTGTTTCGTTTAGATATTTGTAATGACTATCCCATAATCTTTCATTGTAATATCTTAATTTCAAGATATTATTAATTTTAGTAATTTTAGAGGTCATTAAAGAAGCATGATATTTTATTTAACTAAATCTCCTTTATATATTTAAGTAGCCTTCTCAAATATGGGGTTTTAACTTAATCCATTAATTATCCAAATAAGCCTTTATCCAAGCAAGAATACATTCATAAAATTATTTTCTGTCACTTCAACAACTATAATTATATTTAGAGCATTTCTTTAAAAACCATTCTCTATTAAGTTACCTCGAATTACATCATTTATTAATTTTAATATTGATTTTCTATAAGTTTGTTTGAAGATTTATACTACAATTGGAGAAAATATCTTATTTTTTATAAATAGTAAGAAATTTAGAAAAATTTTTAAATATTTGGATTTGATTAGCATTGATGTTGAATTAGTAAATGTGAAATCAAATTAACTTTTGAATAGCTTAATTCTATACGAATATAGAAGAAGTAAATTATTATAACTTAATAAGAGAATTGAACAATTAGTTGGTCTTTATAAGAAGGAATTTAGCATGAAAATAAGAATACTTGATTGTTTGGAGTTTTCCAAGTTTCTTTTTCTATACTTTCTTTTTATGAATTAGAATTTTTGGTGATCAATGAAATATGAAAAATTTTAATGGAATTTATGCTAACTGCAAATAAGTTTAAAATAACTCGAAAAATTGTAATTAAGGTATGGTGCAATTAGTAGGAGGTAGTATTAAAAATAAAATTATTCAATTTTTATACGTGTTTTTGACTTTTCTTTCATTTTTGTTTTTCAAGTTAGCTTTCTTGGGAATATAAAGTTATTTCCCTGAATCAAAATGAGTACAAATCATTCATAATTCCTGCAATCACTTATAAAATAAATTTTTTATAGAACACAGTTAAAATTCACATGTCACTCTTGAACGAAATAGTGAAATATTAAACTTTGTAAACTAATATTATTATAAATAATAAGGATTAAATATTTATATCCCTACAAGATATAAAAACATTTTGGTTTAACACCCCGACACACCAAGAAATAGATTAATAAAATTTATACTTTTATGTACTTTAATATTGAATTCACTTATAAATAATTTTCATTATTTTGATGGCTTAAATGGATCAGTAGGTAATAGTGGATTTAATGGTAATACCGCAATTTATTGCTATGATAGCTATAATGGATTTGGAAGTAATGATGGTTATTACACAATTTATGGCTATACACTACATATCTATATTAATAGTTTTAATAAATTATAGGAGATCACAATTAATTCTATCATTGTGCCTTTAGATAGTAGGATTATTTGAATCCAACCCAATATAATTTTTTTCTCTTCATTAAAATATTCTAGACACTCTTAAGTGTATAAAAATGAACGAAAAATAAAAAGCAATACCAATATCTCAATCACCATCTAAACAATATAATTGTTTATTAAAAATAAAACGATAATTATATATTAGTGTAATCTAAAATAAGCTTGTTAAAAGTAGCAATTCTATTTAAAGAATCTCTGATTTGTCAACATAGATTAAAAATAATAAAAAGAAAAATTATCTTACAAAACTTACTATTTCAAACTGTTGTAAGAGGTTGTTTTTTGATTATTTTTATTGAGATTTAAAGCAATCTGAGAAAATTTTAAAATAAAGTATTAGTATGATGATAACTATAATAATTTGTTCAATATCTATGTAATTTTTAGTTTCAATGTGCCGTAAGTACAATAATGTTTTAAATATCATATCCCAACCATTTATAAGTAAGGCTTTTTATAATCCTGAAAAAGAATTATATTTTTCCAATTTTAGTAAATTTATGCAAATGTTATAAAAGTATTAACTCAACTTAATAACTATTTTTGGAGATATATGTAAAGAAAATAATGACATATAATTAAAGTACCTCGAACAAAATATCTAATTGTACACAAATTTTTTTAACCATTAAAATGAAAAAATAAATAATAAATACATTAACAATTAAAGTAATTGGCATTAAAGGTTGATGATCAAGCTTATGTTTTATTTATAAAATCTAAATTTTCCGTGAGTATATTCTTCATTTTATTCAATATCAATAAGCTGCAAAAGTTAAGAAAATTAAACAAAAACCAAAAGAGGTTAAACTGTTATCATATCATTAAAAGAAAAATAAATCACTAGATTTTCTTGAAATTATAGATTGATATATCTTAAGTATTGCTAAAATTAAAGAATTGACAAAACTTCAAAAAATAATTCCAATTCACCTATTAGCAGACTAAAACCAGTGATTCCAGACAAACTGTAAATGACATTTTGATTAAGATTTTTCAAACTTTTAGAATAATCCTTCTGTGTTTAATCTAAATATGTTGGATATTGTAATAAAATCGATTTTTCAACATTTTTCACAACAGCATTATCAATATTAGAAACAGTCTGATTAATTAAAATTTTTAAGACTGGCCTAAATTCAAGTAATTAGTACACTTCGATTTAGGCAATAAATTCTCCAAAATTCACATTTGATCCAACATCCTATAATATATATAAGCTACTATTCCATTTCTTCTCTTCTATATTTAATAATTGAAGATTTATTGTTTCTGATAAGGGTTAAGTTGTTTATATCTTTACTCTTTAATCAAATGATATTCTTATGTATTACTTATTTTAGGTCATATTGAGATAATTAATTATTAATTTTGGAGCTTTGACAAAAGTACATTAGCTAGGAGAGTCTATTGTCATAGTAATGCATATCCAATTTTCTTCAATTAAACAATTAAAGCATCCATCCACTGCTTAATAATTTCCATCATCACACTCTTCTTATTCCTAAAGTAATCCATCTCCGCAATTTATTTATTACATAAATTAATTTGACATTAATAATTAGTATTAATTATTGCACTCTAAACAAGTACCTTGATAGCAATCATAACAATTTTCTGAGCAAGAATACTTGCAATTAAAACAACCATCTTAAGGTTGTAAATTGCCATCATCACAATACTCTTCTTTAGTGACAATTTTATCACCACAAACTGATTGACAATTATTATTAACAAATTTATATCCATGTTCACATTTAAAAATGCATTATCCTCGATCACATATGTTACAATCTTCAATGCATTAAAACTTACATTGAAAACAGCCATCATATGGTTGTTCATTGCCATCATCACGATCCTCATATTATTTGAGAATTATTTTATCTCCACAATAAGGTAAACATTTGTTTTCTTAATTTTAATATCCTTCTTCACACTTTAAGCAAATTGATAAGTAGTTATTTTTACAATTTTACTTATATAAATCTACAATCCTAACATCCATCCTAAACACCATTAACTGTCAGTTCACATTATTCAGCTGAATAAGGAATTAATTTACCATCCCCACATATAGGATCACAATTAAAACTACTATTAATAACAAATCCATCTTAACATTCCAAACAAATTCCAAATTAACATATTTAACAAAAGTCTATGCATTAATACTTGCATTAATGACAAGATTCATTGGATAATTGATTTCCATCATCACATTCTTCTTAACCTTGAATAATTCCATCACCACAAATTGGTTAAAAATTTTCCAACAATTCATCTTAAATCCAACTTCTTGGCAAATCATGCATCTATCATCTATCTACTCTAAACAACCTTCATTCAAATTTTTAATTATATTTTCTGGTTATGTGTAAAATACTTCAAAATCTCTAATCTAACTAAACTAATCAGATTATTCACTTTTAATAATGAGTTATAATATCATGTCTTTATGATTTCTAATTAATATTTCTATTTATTAGAAGGGAGAACTAATTGTTTATTTACTATATAAATAGTCTACTATTATAATGTTAGAATAAAATTTATAAAACCTTATTAATACATCTTAATGAGGAGGTAANTTTGATCCAACATCCTATAATATATATAAGCTACTATTCCATTTCTTCTCTTCTATATTTAATAATTGAAGATTTATTGTTTCTGATAAGGGTTAAGTTGTTTATATCTTTACTCTTTAATCAAATGATATTCTTATGTATTACTTATTTTAGGTCATATTGAGATAATTAATTATTAATTTTGGAGCTTTGACAAAAGTACATTAGCTAGGAGAGTCTATTGTCATAGTAATGCATATCCAATTTTCTTCAATTAAACAATTAAAGCATCCATCCACTGCTTAATAATTTCCATCATCACACTCTTCTTATTCCTAAAGTAATCCATCTCCGCAATTTATTTATTACATAAATTAATTTGACATTAATAATTAGTATTAATTATTGCACTCTAAACAAGTACCTTGATAGCAATCATAACAATTTTCTGAGCAAGAATACTTGCAATTAAAACAACCATCTTAAGGTTGTAAATTGCCATCATCACAATACTCTTCTTTAGTGACAATTTTATCACCACAAACTGATTGACAATTATTATTAACAAATTTATATCCATGTTCACATTTAAAAATGCATTATCCTCGATCACATATGTTACAATCTTCAATGCATTAAAACTTACATTGAAAACAGCCATCATATGGTTGTTCATTGCCATCATCACGATCCTCATATTATTTGAGAATTATTTTATCTCCACAATAAGGTAAACATTTGTTTTCTTAATTTTAATATCCTTCTTCACACTTTAAGCAAATTGATAAGTAGTTATTTTTACAATTTTACTTATATAAATCTACAATCCTAACATCCATCCTAAACACCATTAACTGTCAGTTCACATTATTCAGCTGAATAAGGAATTAATTTACCATCCCCACATATAGGATCACAATTAAAACTACTATTAATAACAAATCCATCTTAACATTCCAAACAAATTCCAAATTAACATATTTAACAAAAGTCTATGCATTAATACTTGCATTAATGACAAGATTCATTGGATAATTGATTTCCATCATCACATTCTTCTTAACCTTGAATAATTCCATCACCACAAATTGGTTAAAAATTTTCCAACAATTCATCTTAAATCCAACTTCTTGGCAAATCATGCATCTATCATCTATCTACTCTAAACAACCTTCATTCAAATTTTTAATTATATTTTCTGGTTATGTGTAAAATACTTCAAAATCTCTAATCTAACTAAACTAATCAGATTATTCACTTTTAATAATGAGTTATAATATCATGTCTTTATGATTTCTAATTAATATTTCTATTTATTAGAAGGGAGAACTAATTGTTTATTTACTATATAAATAGTCTACTATTATAATGTTAGAATAAAATTTATAAAACCTTATTAATACATCTTAATGAGGAGGTAATTGAGTAAAATATTTTATTTCTTAAAATTTAAAATTTAGCATCTACCACAAGAAAAATTATCAAAATAATAACATTCTAATCCAAATGTCCATCCATCAGAATTTGTGATCAATTTCTAATTAAAAGAATATGAATGCATTTTCCATTATAAACAAAATGTATCATAATAATCTATGCATCCAGCGCATTCATACTAGCATTTTAAAATATTTAAACTTAATGATATTAATCCTCCATATATAGATTGAATATCAATCCAAAAGGTTCTCCTGTTATGTTACCGTGTTATAGAAATAGTAAGTATATATTCTGAGTTTGTACTATCACAAATTGAATTTTAAGATGGCATCTCTGATACATAGTTAACTTATTTAAGATCTATCCTAAAATTAGGAGCATTATTGCCATTAATACTTTTATAATTTACAATATAATTACCTCAGAACCTTTGCATCCACCCTAATTTGAGAATGAGGTTCAAGATCCAAAAATATTCTGCTAAGAAAATAATTATTAATATTATTTGATCCAAAATAATGAATCACTCCACAAGTAAAGAAATTTGGATTATTTACTGTTTCCCATCCTAAAATACATTACAAGAAATTACCATCTATTATGTTAGAGCTTGCATCAAACTAATAAAACAGAGTTTGGTGAGTTATATAGACTAAAACAATGAGTAGTATCATCTTTGATGAGTGTTAATAATTGAATTAAATTTATTTTATTTAATGAATTTAATAGACTAATCTCTTCACTTTCTCTTAACGATCATATAAATATTTATACTTCTTTAAAATTTTTGTAACTCATGATTATTCAAGTAAATTTTCTATAACTTGACTAAGATTAAATCTAATAAAGTAATAAGGGTCAATATTGATATTCTGATATCAAATAAATTAATTCATTTATGCAATAATTTTGATAAGAAGAATTAAATCTGAAATCCTATCATATACAAAGTCAACTCCTTCAAATTCTAGAGTACGTATTAAAATACTCAATTTTTTATATTTCTATTGATAGAGAATTCAAATTAGAGTTAGTTCATGTATAAGTCAGCTATTAAGTAAAGATGGAAATATCTTATATTTATAAACTAATCAGAAAATGATGGTCTAATCACACAAGTGATAAGGGTGGCATCAGAAGTAATCCAATAGTTGCCGAAAAAGATAATTTAAATAACTAATAATTTTAATTGTAACTCAAAGTCAAGGTAAACATACTGAAGAATGCTGAAAAGAAATCAACAAAAAAATATTAAAATATTTAAGATTTCTTTTTGAATCAGTATTAGGAACCTACATAAGTAATTGATACGTTATGAGATTCAATTGCTTAATTTACCTTAAATGTTATTTTATAAATTAGATTATAAAAAAGTTTCTTCCAATTTATTTATTTAATGGATGAGTATTTTAATCTTTAATTTTGGATTTGACATAGTGATCATTAATTTGTTCAAGTACTGAACTTTCAGAGACATAATAAGAATTGGAGATGAAACTGTATAAGCGTTTTCTAAAAAGGCAGAGTTTTACGATACAATTTGTAATTTTCTTCTGATTGAGGAAGTAGATTAGTCTAAACTTTTGCAATATTTATTTTGTATCCAATAAATTTCATAGTCACTCTTTGAAATATATTAATCCATTATTACCAAAAGAGTTACACCTTTCATAGCTTTTTATGACAGAAAGTTTCATAAAATTTTTAGAGCTAAATCAATAAGAAGTTTAGGTATCAAGCCAAAATTTTCTAGGATGTTTGGGAGTTATCAAATGAATTTAATAAATAACAATTAATAAAATTGCTAAATATTACAATAATATGAAGCTTATTGTATAAACCTTTTTTAAATAAATCAAGAGAATAAATATTATATAATTTTTTTATGAATAAATTTGAAAATAATTAAATTCATTCCAATTAAATTTTTATGATTTTTATTTCAAATTTTTTTATTACTAAATCCGAAATTGAAAATATTGCTTATATATAAATAAAATATTATTTTCTTAAAAATGATATTATGATTGAACTTAATTTTTTGAAATTAAAATTTTATAGA